CCAGATCTTCCAGGGAAATCCTTCTTCTCCTTCAACAATGAGGACTTTTTGGAGAAGAGAAGAAAGGGACTTCAGATTTTCTTGGACAAGTCAGTTCTCCTTCTTCTAAAATCAGTATTTGATCGTCTAAACAAGCATTTTCTAATCTCGTTTTACCTCTGTCATTTTTTTTCTTTTTGTTTTTTTGTAGAGTGGTGCACATGACCGTCTGTCTGTCAGACAGCCAGCTCCACCTCTTTCTACAGACCCAGCTGCCAGTCGGTCACATCCAGGACTGTGTCCAAGGCCACACCCCTTACTCCGTGACAGATGCCATCCTCACGTATGCCTCGTCCAATCAGGGACTAGCTCAGGCACAGGAGGATGATTTGATCAAGGAGCCATGTTTGACCATTTCTTACGAATCAATGGAAAGGTACGTGAAAAAGATCAGAACGGTACCTACAGAGATGATTATGCATACGGGTGTATTGCAAACAGCAACCAATGTCACAGGCTAAAAACAATGACTGCAGTACCTCTAATGCCCACTTGAGGCTCACTCCAAAAGTGAGCCAATCTAATAGACTTCCATGTTAAAACCTGAGAGTAGATATAACATGTCTATATGTTTGTCCATCATTTATATACAGTCTATGATTGTAAACAATAGACTATTTATATTCACCAACTGAGAAATTTGAAGCCTCAGCATTAACATTTAGCAGCTACCATGTTGTTGTTGTTGTTGTCATCGTTGATGTTGTTTTTTAAGCCAGCAGCATCCATATTTACAAAAAAAAAGATGTAAATTGTTGGGATTGGATGATTGATTTTGTGATTTATTTATTTATTTATTTATTTATTGGATGATTACTTCTCCATTCTGGAGTTTTTGTGCTAAGCTGAGCTAACCAGCATAGTCTCCGTATTCTAGAGCTTTTCCTTACACCTCTCCCCTTTAGTAGCAACGTATCAACTCCTCATTAAATGTATAAAATGTTTAAACTGAACAATTTCTAAACCCTTGTTCCCGTTTTCCTCCACAGCCCGGCTCCTCATCAACCTTGCCAACAACCTAATGAGACCATCAGCCCGGAGCTCGTCTCATGTGGTGACGCTGACCCTCTAGAAGGTTTACTGGAGGTCCATGATCAGGACCATAGGAAGAAATGCTCATTAAGGATTTCCCAGAAGAGCAACCATCTTGAGGCCGTTCTTGAAACGGTTCTTGAGGACAGCGGCCCGTCAGAGGCAACCTTTTATCTGGGGGACAGTCCAGAGAGTCTTAGCTCTGCTGAGCAGATCCAGCAGAGGTTACAGACTCCGGTGGAGGTGCACACGTTCACGGGGATCGGCTTTGAGGACAGTGTGATCGATGGGAAGATTGTTTTACCTCCAGGTGAAGAAGAAAAGGTGGAGCTGCAGGAGAGTAATGAGGATGCTCATGAAGGAAAAGTCAACTGTGAGCCTGAAAAATATGATGATTCTGAGAAGATTTTCGATTTTAAGGAAAATAACTGTGATGAACACATTTTAGGAAGTGATGCCAGATCTCAGGAAGCTATGGAAAACATCTGTACCGAGAATCCCGTCATCTCTGAGGTTAATGAGGTTCATGTTCTAGAAGTCAACGCCGA